GAGCGGCGAGCTTACTTGACAACTTTTTTTCGGCGCGCCGCTCCACCTCTCGCTATTAGATGATGCCCCACCGTTGCCTGCCGAGTCCGGCCTTCTACGCTCTTATTCGCTCAGACATTAAAATTAATTTCTCGATAACTACTGCGAATTTTGCAAAATGGTATAGGACTTTTCTATTCAGTTTGCCCCGGTCTATCTGCCATCTACGGGACATACGGTTGGGACACACCATGTATACATAGATAGGAGCGACTTTATACATATACAATAAAAATAAAACACGTATAATTTACTTTAAACCTCCTTTTCAGAACAAAATAACATGAAACCTACTAAAAAATTCACATTGCGTATCAATTGCAAAATAATGTTTTGTTGTTTTCAAACGTATGATTTGGTCACATGTCCCCTTTCTGTTTTGACAAATTCAATTAATACTTGTTCCAATTCGCTCAAAACAGCAAATATTATGGGCACCATCATAGCAGTGGCCGCGGTATTTGACACCCACATGGATATAAATGTTGTGACCACACATATGCCACCAAGCAATCGTGCGTGGCTACAGCCAACTGTCTTCATAACTCCGAGGGCAATTCTAAGGTGGAGATTACTGTGCTCGATAGCAATAGCGAGAATCAAACCACCAATGAACACCATTATTGTGTCATTCATGTAACAAGTGCATGTATCTGCTGTACTGAGTATCCCCAAAGCTGGGAACAGGACTACCGGAATGAGCGATGTCACTGCCATGGGGAAGCAATCGGTTACCCAGTAACCACCCATGAGTAATACAACATATGCACATTTGACTTCCTACAAAAATCATTAAATTATTGTGTATCGTTATAATAGAAAATGTAAACTTTGTAACTACGTCTTTTTTCATTTCTTTTTCTAACAAAGGCAAACAGTATTGGATGGTAGGGTCCAGATTTTAAAAATAATTAGTAAATTGGAAGAGATATTGATTTGTATCGTTGAAAGCATTAAAGATAAAATCTAGGAATGGACTCTAGTTTTTCTTAGATCTTTTCTAGATTTTTATAAAATTCTCTCTCTAGAAAACTAAAATTAACAAAATTTACATTAAAAATTTACATTAAAAATTACGGAAATTAAAATACATAGAAACTAGGAAGAGATTACCGAATAATCATAAATCAAAGGAAAAGGTAAAAGAAAAAGCGCCCAGAAGAGTGCAAAAATAATCTTCCAATAGATTTTGAAAAAGCGTCCTGTATGTCTTAAACAGCTGGTGAGATTCCTCCAATAGTTGACAGATTCATCTTCTCTCCTTTCAATTATAAACGCAAAATTTTTTAAATCCTTCATTATGTAGGTTCATGGTGTACATTTTATTTATATAAATTTTTCAAACATAGCAATGTAATTTATTAAAAAACTGACAATAATACATTTTAACGAAAGGAAATTAAAAGATAAGAATAATTAATTCTTGTATACAAGGTGAGTCACAACATTTCTGCCAGAGATCAGCGCGCCGTTGCCGGCGAGCTTACGTCGCCGCTCCCGCGTCTCGCGTCCCCCCCCCCCCCCCGCCTGGCAATATCGATCGCCGTGCGGTCACATCTCGCCACGCGCTCGAATTGGACAGTGGGCAGGGCAAAGATGACGATTTTTGATAATTAATTACTCGTTAACTATTGCGAAAATTGCAAATGGTACAGGACTTTTCTGTTCATCTCGATCCGTTCTACCTTCTCACGAGCTCTGGCAGAAATGTTGTGACTCACCCTGTATAGTTTTATATTTAATATAGTTTAGATTTGAGAAACACTTTAACATGTTAAAAGTTTATAAAGAATTGAAAAATAAATTAAAAAAGTAGTATTTAACATAATTTATAATGTTATACTTCTACTGCATATAATGTGTTGAAAATTTTTATTTTGTCTAAAATTAAATATTTTTTTAGAATATAAACTCTTAAAAGAAGTTTGTAAAAAATAAACTAATAAAAATTTTATAATAAAATATGGATTTGAGTGCAACAAAACCGATCTGAAATTAATACAAATGACTACAGAAAATGTCATTTTTTATCGGCCTGGATCTTGAAAACCTAATAATAATATTTCTATGTGAATTTTCTATACTTTTTCTGTCATTGTCAACAAATTGCCACTGATTATTTGTTAGTTGTAAAATACAGCTCGAATAATAAATCTACATATCTCATTTTTATTTATTTATCTAAATCAATAAATAATTTACGTTTTAATGCTAATAAGCGTCACATTGAAATCTCCATAAAGAATTTATTGCAAAAAAATCATCAATCTGGATTTGAACCTGGGTCTCCCTACAATCTACGAGAATATCTATACTATATTTAAATTGTCTAAAATAAGACGTACTGGTTTTATTAACTGCCTACTAATTATTAAGCTAACAAGGATCAACTCGATTGACATCTTCTCTAACATTTGTATATTACTTGCGTGTTAATTTTTAATACTTGTGTGTTACTACACCCTAATGGCATAGTACATTGGCTAAACATTGGTCCAATATTGATTACATTAGACATGCATTGGCCGATATTGTCCAACGTAAAGCCAATATTGGGTTACGAAATAAATGTAAATATTGCATGATAATAATTACATAATATTAGATTTATATTGGAAGTGCATTCAATATGTAACAACGTCATAAAAATATTGGCCTAATACTACCTATATATAATACAATATATATATATATACTACAATATTAGATCGTAATAATCAATAACAATTTATAACTTTTTGCAAATTAATTATATAACCATAAAAATTATGATTTATTGTATTGGGTGTAGTAACACATAAGTATTAAAAATTAACACGCAAGTAATATATAATTTTTACAATAAAGATTTTATGAAAACAAAAATTTTTATTTGAATTAATTTAACACTTATCTAAAATACATCCTTGAATCGCAATTGTGACATAATAAAATTATTTAAAATAAAAACTTTTTACAACTTTAACCTTAAATTTCTCAAAATTATTATATATTATTTTCAAATTCGATATTGTGTTTAGTATACTAAAACGAGTATTGAGAAAAATTATTCTTTTTTTTAAGTTTTCAGAAAATTATTTTCTTCTATATATGTGGTAACTTTTACATGTTACCTTATTTATAGTGAAATGCTTTACATTCGAATTAAATATTACATCAGGTGCTAACCTTTCTATTGGTTCTATATCCTCATTTTCCTTTTTTTCTTCAATCATGTTATTTAATATTTAGTATGTTTATAAAATACGTATTTAAAATGTCAAAATTAATTTTAGTGTTGTTAATTATGACTCGCAGACAATATAAGTACTGCGATTTCACATCGTACGATATTTTCGTATAATTCTCGATTAAGGATGTATCGGACCTATCTTCAAAATAGTACAAAGTCGCTAAAAATTTGTGAAATTGTTCTTTTAGGCCGGTATTCATAGTCCAAGCTTGAGTTTCAAGACGATCTTAAGCCCGTTCTTAAGACCAAAATCGATTCGTAGTTCTTGCTTAAGATCGATTCTCAAGTTGAAACTTCTTCTTCTTTCCTATGGCTCCCGGCTCAACCGCTGAGCCGACACGGAAGTTGAAACTTGAAGTCGGTCTCAAGGTAGAACTACAGTAAATCGCCGACTTGAGATGGTCTTGAGCTGAAAAAAATCGCAAATAATTCAGGAAAAAACATTTGTAAAGTGAAAAATACCTTTATAAGAGTACACATAAGACTCCAACCATCGTTTCTTACATCTAGATTTACTATGCGTTAAGAGTAGATATTTAAGTATTTCCAATTTCATGCACTTTTGTCTAAGATTGTACGTCCAATACATCCTTAATTTGTTTTATTAACGTGCGCGCGCGCGCACACACACACACACATATACGCGCGCGCGTATATTCAGTATGTCCCCAAATTTACACTTCAAAATACCATAGCTTTTAGAAAGTTGTCGAGAAAATAAATTATATATATGTAAAATAACCTTTTTTAAAAAAGGTGAATATTAGATAGTGCCACCTCTTTGCTGATCATGTTCTCCTGATACTTTGTCATTTTCTCGATTCTCGATTTTTGCGATTTGAATTTGGAAATTCTCGGAAATCCAATTCTTGGAATTTTTGATAGTGCCACCTCTTTGCTGATCATGTTCTCCTGATACTTTACCATTTTCTCGAATTTCAATTTTCGCGATTTGAATTTGGAAATTCTCGGAAATCCAATTCTTGGAATTACAGATAGTGCCACCTATTTGCTGATCATGTTCTCCTGATACTTTGCCAGTTTTACGATTTTCGATTTTGGCGTTTTGAAGAATGAAATTCTCGGAAATTCAATTCTTGGAATTTTAGATAGTGCCACCTCTTTGCTGATCATGTTCTCCTGATACTGTGCCATTTTCTCGATTCTCGATTTTCGCGATTTGAATTTGGAAATTC